GTAAGGGATAGATGGAGGGTCCAGGCATACATATAATCTCTGTGAACCCATTAATGAGCCCCAAAATCCTGCGGTGAAATCTCCCAGCCCCCCCAACCCCCCCCCCTCTCCGCCCCGCGTTCCCGCCATTCTTGCTTCTTGCGATTCTTGTTGCCTGCTTTCCACTTTACTTCCTTACTTCCTTCCTTCCGTCCTTCCTTCCATCCTTCCCGTCCCACTGGCTGAGAGCGGCAGCCGTCGATGCGCCGCAAGCCCTAGGCTTTTAACATTTGCGTTTGCCTCGGCCGCGGCCGATTCAGCGCATACGTGTGCAGCCGGGCCGAGGCGGGCGACGCGAAGCGTCTAAAATTACTTGCGATCCCCATCAAGGCACGTACAACCTTGACTACCTTCCATGATCCATGTACCGATACAGTATAATATATTTCGGAGTGATAGTGCCCCCCCTAAACCCTAAACCCTAAACCTTAACCCTAACCCCGTTAAGTATCGACATCTGTAAATATATGGGCCCTGTAAGTTACTAAGTTCCATGATCCTCCGAGTAGTGCTGTCCAGCGAGCCCAACAGGGCTGAGCTCTTCCAGACCCTATACCAAGGAATAGAACTTACATCATTAAGGTTTAGGGCTTAGGGTCTAGGGTTTAGAGTTTATAAGGTTAAAGTTTAGGGTTTAGGGTTTAGGGTTTAAGGTCTAGGGTTTGGGTTAGAGTTTAGGTTTTAAGGTTTAGGGCTTAGGGCTTTTTAACCCTAAACCCTGAACCCTAAACGCTACCTAAACCACCCAAGGCCCAAACGTAGGTAACATATCGGCCCAAAACCTATAACATGCTAGTGTTCTGCATACTTTGGGGTCCAGGTAAACCCTAAACCCTCAACCCTACAAGCCCTAAGCCTATAAGCCCTAACCGCCCTAAACCGCATGCAGTCCGGGATGCGGTTGTTGAACCTTCCCAGACATTTCAACATTCCCGAATTAATAAAGCATATGCTTTAAATGACAGTAGGCACCCTAATATGGGCAGGTAGGGTCTCGGGGCTTCGGGTTCGGGATCAGCCGCCCGACTCCGGTAAAGGTTCGGGGTTTAGGGCTTTAGGGGTTCGGGGTTTAGGGCTTTAGGGCTTTAGGGGTTCGGGGTTTAGGGGTCAGAAATTTAGGGGTTTAGGGTTTAGGGTTTTAGGGCTTTAGGGGTTCGGGGTTTAGGGGTTAGACGTTTAGGGGTTTAGGGCTTTAGGGGTTCGGGGTTTTGGGTTTAGGGCTTAAGGGGTTTAGGGTTTTAGGGCTTCAGGGGTTTAGGGGTTTAGGGTTTTGAGTTTTAGGGCTCAGGGTTTAGGGTTTAGGGGTTTAGGGGTTTAGGGTCTAAGGTTTAGGGAGTACCTACACTCTGAAGGAGTGTTTAGGGTTTAGGGTCCAGGGTATACTCTGACCGTGCAATGCCCTGAGTCACTGAGACAAAACCCAGAGCCATGATCCATCTTGGTCCTAGACCAAATCGAACCTCCAAACCCTCATGCACATGATCCAAAACGAGCCAGACCCTCATCGGACAAACCTGCCCCTAAACCCCAAACACTAAACCGAAATCCGAACGATGCCTGCAGCAGGGCATTTCGGACGGCCACGGGCGCACCCTGAAGAGCAAGGGCAGACAAGTATGAGGATGTAGGCGTGACCTAACCTAAACCCTAAACCCTCAACCGAGGAACCCTAAACCCTTTAACTCTATAATCCCTTGGCTGGGGCCCGCTTTGAATCATTTAGTTCCTTAAACTATATATTCTTTGGGGGCAGAGAGTTAGGGTTCCTTGAGGACCAAATGACCAATATAAGTAGAGGCCCTGCACTCTTCTACTATGAATTCCTATATGAAACCTAAACCCTAAACCCTAAACCTTAAACCCTAAACCTTAAACCCTAAACCCTAAACCCTAAACCTTAAACCTTAAGCCCTAAACCCTACACCTCAAACCCTACACCCTTTTCGAGTTCATCCTCAACCGTAGCACGGCCTACCTTTGGTAGGGACCCTCATGTGCTACGAAACCCAAACTTTAACGTTTAGGGATTAGGTTTAGGGCGTTTCCGGTTTATCGGGTCCCCATGTGTCAAGAAACCCAGACTTTACAGTTTAGGGTTTAGGGGGTCCTCATGTGTTACGAAGCCCAAACTTTAACGTTTTGGGTTTTGGGTTTAGGGAGTCCCATGTGTTACGGAACCCAAACTTGAACGTTTTGGGTTTAGGGAGTCCCATGTGTTGCGAAACCCAAAGTTTAACGATTTGGTTTTAGGGGGTCCTCATGTGTTACGAAACCCCAACTTCAAAGTTTTGAGTCTAGGGTTTAGGGGGTCCTCATGTGTTACGAAGCCCAAACTTTTAACATTAAACCCCAGCTTGAGAAGGAAGCTCCCAAGGCTACCACCAACGTCAAGTCAAGCCAGGCAGGTAGGGCATCTAACTTCTAAGCCCTCAACCCTAAACCCTAAACCCCTAACCCTAAACCCTGAACCCTAAACCCTGAACCCTAAATTTAAACCCTAAACCCTCAACCTTAATCAGGCTTAGGGTTTGGAGCATGGTAGGGCCCTGTCCTTAAAAGTGGATCAGGTTTTGCACCTGAACCCAACGGTTTTAGGCTCGAGGGTTTAGGGTTTAAGATTTAGGGTTTAAGGTCAGCCCTGAACCGTAAATAAACCTAGACCCAAACCCCTTCGCGCATGCAAGAAAGCGCCGGTACAGTCTAACGCTGAGAAGATGGGGTTGTGCTACACTCCGAGGGCTTAGAAGGATTTGGGGCTTGTTTCTGAACACTGCGAGTGCCACACGTGTTCTTTTTCTTCCAGCGACCGTCCTTCCAAACGTACTCTGGAGGCGGTCGCTCCCACAAAGATCGGCCCCCGGCTACTGCTGGCCGGCTCTGTCGCGGGCGAACGACCCCGGCGGGTTTGCCCGCTACGGCTGGCTTGCTGCTCGTTCCAGGCTGCTACGCCGTTCCAACCATGCCACGGGTCGGAGGTGTCACGAGCCCGGTTGTCCTGTTGCTAGATCTCATGCTGCCAGCTTTGGTGCTATTCTTGTTCCTGGCTGTCCTGCTGCCAAGTGGCTTCCCACCAGTTCCGAGACCACCAGTGGTCTCGATTCCACCGTCCTTCTTCCCAGTCCTTACCGGACGTGGTTTCAGGGAGGGGCGGTTCTACCCGCACTTGGCAAGTAGAACCTAAAAGAGAAGGAAACACCCAAACGGGTGCGTTCCCCTTTTCCCGGTTTCCTAGGCGCGGGTGCCTGAGGAACAGTCCTCGCTCTTGGGCGGGGCTGTCCGCCAGCCTCGCGCAGAGCACAAGCCTAAACGCTACACCCTAAATCTGAAACCCCCAAGCCCTAAAGGCTAGACCCTCAACCCTGAACCCCTAAACCTTAAACCCCTGAACCCTTTCACCCTAAACGCTACAGCCTACGTGAACACGAATTTGTGGGTTTCTGGGGCCGGGAGAGCAAAGCTCGGATGAAGCTGTGGAGACCGACAGCATGATCCTACCATTGCCACACCCGAAATCCAAAGATGATCCTAAACCCTAGACCCTAATCTACCTTAAGAAGCCAGAACCTACTTTTTTGTAGGGTCCCTATAAATTCCATATTAGGGTTTATAATAAGAACCTACAAAAAAGTGGGTTTTGGGCTCTTAAGGTAAACCCTAAACCCCAAACCGGATTACCGTAGGGTTGAGGCTTTAGGGTTTAGGCCTTCTCAATCAGGGGTTTAGGGTGGAAGGTTTGAAGTTCAGGGCTGATCATAGGGCCCCCAAAAAGCACATAAGCAAAATTAGGATCTGGATATCCCATATAACTCCCCTTATAATGAAGCCCAATAAGGTAGGGATATCCCTGTAAAATGCTTATGCTTATGTCCCTTTTCGGGTTCCTAAGATAAATCCCCCTAAACCGCTAAACCCTAAAGCCCAAAACCCTAAACCCAAACCCCTAAACCCAAAACCCCAAACCCATCAATCCGATGCCCTCAGCCGTACTGTTAACGTCAAGATCCTAAACCCGCGACCCTGAATCCTGGGACATGGACGTGGCAAACACTCTAGTTAGGGTTTAGGGTTTAGGGGTTTAGGGGTTTAGGGTGTAGGGTTTAGGGTTTAGGAGTTTAGGGTGTAGGGTTTAGGGTTTAGGATTTTAGGGTTTAGGGTTGAAGGGTTTAGGGGTTTAGGGGTTTAGGGTTTAGGGTCTTTTCGATCCCCAAACCCACACCTTAGAATAACTCTAATCTCCCCCTTTTTCGAAACCCCGGATTCAACCCAAGGCTTCGCTCAGGACCCGGCATAGCTCTTTAAGTCCTGTCGCGGAGCACTCAGGGTGTCAGGCTTTGTCAGGGATTAGGGATTTATGGAATAAGGTCTAGGATCGTCCTAAACCGAAAAACCCTAAACCCCTAAACCCTAAACCCCTAAACCGTAAACCCTACTAAACCCTAAACCGTAAACCCCTAAACAGATCGTATGGTCTTGCGCTTGCGGTTTAAGGTTGTGAGCTGCCGGAATCTCGTTCGGAGAGTAGCTCGGGGTTCGGGTATGTAGGGTTTAGCACGTAGGGTTAGGATCGGTGGTTTTAAGTTTGGCTACCACTGTTGCGTCTGCTGCTGCTGCTGCTCATGGTGCTGCTACTTACAAATTACAGGCAGCATTGGCGTCAATGGTGAGGTGCTTGGCGAGGGCCGCCAAGACACGCGACATTGGGAAAGCGAATAGGCGAGTTTCATTTCACAAACCTAAGGAACCCGCAAAAGGGAGCGTTTACAGGAAGCCATAAGGTAGACGTACAGTGCGAGGCTCTTCCCTTAACGCTAAATCCTAAAGCCTAAACCCTAAACCCTAAACGCCTAAACCCTAAACCTTAAACCCTAAACCCCTAAACCCCTAAACCCTAAACCCCTAAACCCTGAACCCCTAAACCCGTAACCTAATCCTCAGCTGCAGCAGCGTCCCTCCCCGCTGTCCTGCTGAGGAACGACCACTCCCCCAGACGATCCGATGCTCCTTCCACGGCCTGGGAGTCACAGTTAAGCGCTTGGGGTTAGGGGTTCAGGTTTAAGGTTACAAAGGGGTTTAGGGTTCAGGATTTAGGGTTAGGGGTTTAGGGTTTAAGGTTAGGGTCTAGAGTTCGGGGTTTAGAAGCGTTTTAACTACATCCTAGACCCCACATGAGGACCTACTCTCCTCGCTTTGGAAGTGGCTGTTGACATCTCTCCAACAGCAACTGGTACTGACCACATACATACAGGAACAGTCGATAGTAGGGAAAATATAAATATATATATATATATATATACATATATATATATTAGCTAATCAGGCTGGCCCATTGACGCCTCCCACAAAAAGCCTAAAATATCCCAAGGCCTATCTAGTATATGGGTAGTTCTCTAAATTAGGGTCGCTTTTTGAGTCCCCTATATAGTACGGCACTCTTAATTTAGGGAACTACCCATATTATGTTCATCTGATACTTCGACGAAGCAAGGAACCTTAAAAGAGATCCGCAGAGTAATATCCTCCCAACTCGCACACGGATTTGAGGGGTTTAGGTTGGTTTACGGTTTAGGGTTTAAGGTTTAGGGGTTTAGGGCTTTAGGAGTTTAGGGCTTAGGGCTTAGGGGTTTAGGGTTTAGGGCTGAAGGGTTTCAGGGTTTAGGGTTTAGGGCTTAGGGTTCAGGGTTTAGGGCAACCCCAATCTGTATTTAGGTTGCAGCTCTGAGCATGGCAAACGGCATCTATCCCTGATGGCCAGCGTCCCAACCGCTGAGGGTTTCGGGTTCAGGGCTTCGGGTTCATGGTCTAAAGAATCACACCAACACATCATGGATCCTCGCACCCCTTCTTAAAGGTCACTTTGTGACACAATAAAACAGAACCCTGAGGAAAGCCCCCTAAACCCGAAACCCTAAAACTTGTGAGGCCCTACACTCAGAACCCTGAGGAAACCCCAAATAGGCTAAGGTCCTAAGGTCCTAGCTGTCTCCCTCAAAATCACGTACTATAGCAACTACGGCTTAGGTTTAGGCGAATTTAGTAAGTAGCATAGGCTTCTTGGGTATCTGTATGTATACTAAAATTATGAACGGACTACTACAAGGAACATGTCTACTAAACTCCTACATTAGCCCACAAAGCTCGCAAACTCCCACCGGACTCCAACCCTTGCGCGACACGAACCCTAAACCCTAAACCCTGAACCCTAAACCCTGAACCCTGAACCCTAAACCCTAAACCCTGAACCCTAAACCCTAAACCCTAAACCCTAAACCCTACGCCCTATTGTTTTGTGAACCCCTCTACACATCGACTCCCCCCAGCTGAGCACCCGCACAGTGCAGGCGCCTGAAGGCGAAGGGGGCGCCGCGATACAGTGGATTAGGGCCCCAAAAAAGCACATAAGCAAAACTTAGGATAGGGATATCCCATATAAACCCCCTTATCATGAAGCCCCAAAAGGTAGGGATATCCCTATAAAATGCTTATGCTTATGTCCTTTTTGGGTTCCTAGTGGATGGAGCTTAGGGGACTCGTGGGAGCCTTTGTTTATACAGTTTAGGGCTGAGGGTTTCGCATGTAGGGCTTCGGGTTTAGGGTTCAGGATTTTGGACTTAATGGGCTCTACAAATATATAGTTCCATGTTATTTTTAGTAGTGACGAGATTGAAGAAGAAAGCTTGCTGTTGCATAAAAGGCTTTCGGCGCGGTCTAGGCGTTGAGGAAAAGGCCCTGTATCCCTAAACCCAAAACGCTAAAACCCTGAACCCTAAACCATAAAACCCTAAACCCCTAAACCGGACTGAACCCTCTCTCCCAGACAACTAAGTAAGATTCAATAAACCCTGCAAGCCCCGAACATGATAAACAAAAACCCCTGTCGGGAGCACTGTGTATTGTGAAATCCCCCACGCCCAAAATGTCGAATACGACCTTAAACCTAGCTTAAGAACCCAAAACCTACTTGTTGTAGGGTCCCTATAAATCCCATATTAGGGTTTATAAAAAGAATCTACAAAAAAGTGGGTTTGGGGTTCTTAAGGTAACCCCTAAACCCTTTAACCCTAACGCCCCGCGCGACCCACGGGGTGGGCCTCCCGCCCAGCGCTCGGCGCAGAAGCGGAAGAGGCGACTTGCTACCTTTTGCAGTTTTCGTCAGGGTTTACCTGGGGATCCCAAAACCTACCGTTTTAAGGGCTAAACCCTCTAATTAAGGAGTCATAACCTACTATTTTGTAGGGTTTGGGGATACAGGTAGGAACCCTAAACCCTATACCCTAATTGGGCAGGGTTTAGGTAGGGTTGTATGCGTAGGGCGTATAGGGCTTAGGGTGACGGGTTTAGGGTCCAGGTTCACATACGAGTTTAAGGTTTAGTTTAGACTAATTAGAGAGCTTAGTGATTTAGGTATTAAGTCCTCCAGGGAGTCAGTAGGGGCATTAGTACTAGGGATTTCAAAGTATGGGGTTGAGGGTTCTAGCGTCTAGGGCTGCATCCTTCCGGGCTTTAAGGATTAGGGTTTAGGGTTTATGGGGTTGATCGTCTAGGAGGGAATTCGAGGTCTCCTAGGCCTTTACGGCTAAATCAGGGTGTTCAGGGTTTGGAGGCTTAGTGTTTTGGTATCATCAACATACGCGACAAGCATACTGCCTTTTATCACGAAACAAAGCCGGACATGCTTGGCTCCTGTGGAATTGTTCCCGTGATGTTCCTGCAAAGTGGTCGCTCCACAAAAATGCTGCATCTCTGTGTCCCGGAAGAACTCTCAAGAGTAGAAGTCCTTCGTTCCTGGCGCTAGGATCTTCATCACCAAACAGCTCAATGTATTTCCTTGGAAACTCTGCAAGACCTCCATCTGCTTCTTGCCAATCTCGTCCTCAGCTTCCACAAAGATTGTGGCGTTGTGGAGGTAAACCAGCTTGGTTCCGAGACAGATTCCATGTTGGGTCTTTCAAACCCTTCCCTCTGAACTCCTCAAGGCCACGCGGTAATCCACACAACTGGAGGGACTAGAAGCACCACTTCGACTGCCTCTTTGCCTGCTACAACTTCGCTGTCACTTCTACTGCTGCTACTTCTACGACGACTGCTTTCATGGTTTGGCGATGAGTATGTAAGACTGATAATTGCAGTTTTCCGCACACTCGGAAAGCCCCTAAACGACACATCATACCGACAACAGCACTATCTGGGTCTTAATATAAGAACCTGATTGAGCAACCTTGCGTCTTTATTATGGATCCTACTAGGTCCTACTAGGGGTCATATGACCAGGGTTTCTCAACCAGGTTCGAATGGGCTTAGGGACTACTCCAAGAGACCTTCAGAGACGATCATAGGGATCCATTCCCCCAGTCCCCACTAAGAACGAGGGAGCCTCAGCGAGACATGTCTGAACGAAGCACTCGCACAGCAGGGATTCCAGCTCAACAACGACGGCTAGCGCCAAGCGGTAAATCCACAGCCAGGAGCCCGAACGCCCACAACCTCTTCAAACCAGAAAGCCCGCAACATTAAGCCCCAAGTCTAGAATACCCAAACTACCCTAAACCCAAACCCCCTCAACCCTAAACCCTCAACCCTAAATCCAAAGTACCAAGAAGGACAAAACCCCTAATCCCTCAATCAACAACCAGGATCGTGGAACGTACTAAGTCAGCTTTTCGAGTACCCTAGTTGGGGTTTGGGGTTTAGGGCTCAGGGCCATTATAAGTAGGAGGAAAACTGAAATGCATGGTAGTCATATCAAAATTAGTTTTACTTACATCCTGTACATCCTTCAAATAAAGAAAGAGCCGCAAGACACCTGAGTCAAAGAGCTCGCCGATATGAGGCAGCGGTAGGAAGATCTGGAGGCGACAAGCTTACCCTGAACCCTAAACCCTGAACCCTGAACCTTAAACCCTAAACCCTAAACCCTAAACCCTAAACCCTAAACCCTAGAGTTCAGAGTTTGGGGGTTTTAGGGTTGTCGGGCCGAAGTGCGCTTCAACTGTTCGCCAGCTTGGCGCAGTGTGAGTTCTCCCAAAACCCTACCTGGACCCCCAAAAGTATGTAAAGCAGCCTTGTATAGGTGTTGGGCCATTCTTGTACTTCCTTTTGGGGGTTTACGTAAACCCTAAAAACTTTGAAAGCCCTATAAACCCTAAACCCTAAAAGCCCTAAGCCCCATAAACCCTAGAAGCCCTAAACCCCCTAGACCCTAAACCCTAAAAACCCTAAACCCCCAACACCC